CTCCAACCCATGGACTGTGAGATCATGACCCGAGCCAAAGTCGGACTGAGCCACCCAGGCGTCCCTAAAATACCGATTTATGTAGCGATCCTTAAAGGTGATGCTTTAAAGCCATGCTAGAACCTCCCTGCCAACATCTCACCCAGCTTCTCTCCAAGAGGGAGTGCTACACCAAAACGTAGAGTGTTAGACGACGGGTCTGATACTTTTGGTGGGTCTTCTTGTGTTAATCATAACTCCTTGCTTACAATCCTCAGGATTCAATATTGCCTTTCAGTAAAAGTTCAGAGCATCAAGACTTCCCACAGCCAACTTGATCTTATGTCCTTGAGTTAGATCTCTAAACATATTTGATATCTCCTTCCTTTATACTTTTACTTAGAATGCTCTCTTGAAAAATAAGTAGAATTTGAATGATTTATCTTCATCTGGAAAACCCTCCCTCACTGCTAAATTCAACCTATTTTTCAGACCTCAGTTCAAGTCCCATGAAAGTTTCTGACTAGCCCAAAAGTGGTTTATAATTTGAAAAACTATCATCTAAACCAAACATCCAGTAGTCATTTTTGCCTGTCTCCTGCTTTTTCAATTGAGCTTTTATTTAAAATTTATATTATTATAGGGGCACCTGGGTGGCTCAGTCGGTTGAGCTTCCGACTTCAGCTCAGGTCATGATCTCGCAGTCTGTGAGTTCAAGCCCGTGTCGGGCTCTGTGCTGACAGCTCGGAGCCTGGAGCCTGCTTCAGATTCTGTTTTTTCCCTCTCTCTCTGACCCTCTCCCGTTCATGCTCTGTCTCTCTCTGTCTCAAAATAAACATTAAAAAAAATCATTTTAAAAATATTTAAATTTATATTATTATAGAACTTTCTTCAAGTTTGCATGGTCTTTCCAGTTAGATTTTTAGTTTCTTAAGACAGTGGGTATTTCTTCTATGTCTTTGTACCCCTCTAGCTCCTAACTAAAGGAAACCAATATTTAAGTGCCTACTATAAGCCAGGTTCTCTACTAAATGCTTTCTTATACAGGACACCTGATTTATTCCTCACAGCAAACTTATAAAGATAGATATTAGTGTCCACATTTTATAGATGAGGACATTGCACTTGAGAAATAACATACCCAAAGCATTTACGTAGTCAGTGGCAGAGCTGGATTTCTACCACATCATCCATCAAAATGGCTTGCAAATAATCCATGTCTTGGAGGAGTAAAAGGCTCAGATGGTTTATACATTTTTCTGCTAATATTGATACTCCGAAATTTAGAATGTCATGAAAACAGATTTCAAAAAAGCTAAAATTCTTTTCAAAAATTACAAATTGACCTGCCAATTATTAACTAGGAGCTGAACCCTGGGAATTCACAAAGAGCTTGAAGTCAGAAAATCTTATTTCGGGCGTTTAGACGAAGGGAATTAAAGAGAGATTCTGTTATTTTATGCTTTGAGTACACGTAATGTGACATGAAATGAATCACAATGAAATGAACCATCCTTAAGGTGCCTGCTGCTAGCCCATAACCCTTTCAGAACATTCTTTTCTTTTTATTCCCCTTCTCTAGGGTTACACATCTTTCTGGAATGACTGCATATCATCTGGCCTGCGAGGGGGCATCCTGATAGAGCTGGCCATGCGGGGTCGAATCTATCTGGAACCCCCCACCATGCGTAAGAAGCGACTACTGGACAGAAAGGTGCAACAGCCTTGTGAACATTCTCCTGACTTATGAAAGAGCAGATACCAATGGTCCATTTTGGAGAAATGGGAAGATCTGAGTAGTGAGACAAGATAAATAACACTGACTCAGCTGTCCCATTGTCTAATAGGTTTAATTAACCTATAGCAGAGGGAGAAATTCAAGTATCCATTATCTAAAGAGTTACAAGAAATTTATGGTTTTGTCTTTTTATGCAGAAAAATCACATTTAGGATGCTGTTGATTGTTACTCCTCTGTATCTATAACTATAACATTATGAAATAGAGTGTTATATAGGAGGAGGGCAAACACCTGGGTTGGGTGCAGTCTTTGTTTAATTCTGGTCATGCTCAGATAACATTAGAGTTTTCTCCTTCCATTTATAGCAAGTCCTCTCCACCATATGAGCTTGACTCCCATCTCTGTTTTCTTACTACGTATTTTTTCCACTCATAACTTCATTTTCATACTCTTAACTCTACCAAAACTACATTCTTCAGTGTCACCAGCAGGCTCTATGCCCATCATGGCGCTTGAACTCACAACCCTAAGATCATGAGGCTCTACTGATGGAGCCAGCCAGGCACCCTATCACCAGCTTCTCTTTTGTCTTCAATTTATTTTTCTCTCTTAACCTATACGTGGCATTTGACATTTTTTGACCACCTCCCCCTACTTGAAATTTTCTCCATTCTTGGCCTTTGTTATATTACATTTTCTTGCTTCTTGCCTGTACCCTATTTCTTTTTTTTTTTTTTTTTAATGTTTATTTATTTTTGAGAGAGAGAGAGAGTGCAAGCAGAGGAGGAGCAGAGAGGGAGACACAATCCAAAGCACGCTCCAGGCTCTGAGCTATTGGCACAGAGCCCGACAGGCTCAAACCCACAGACTGCAAGATCATGACCTGAGCTGAAGCTGGACGCTTAACCAACTGAGCCACCCAGGCATCCCGCCTGTACCCTATTTCTTATGCTTCTCCATTCCTTAACATCTGAGTCTCAGTTTGCATCCTTTTGCATACCTTTCTTTCCTTTTGGAGATACCATTTATCTTCTAGCTTTATCTATTACCTCCATGATATTAACCTATCAAATCTGAGGCCTGTCTTCTTTTTCTACCCCTAGGAACATATTTAACTCTTGACTAGACATTTCAACTTAGCTATCCCTTATGAGTTAAAACCAAACTTATCCACTTTTGCCCTAAAGTAGCTTCCTCTTCTTTTTTACCTTTATTAATTGTTTCACAGGTTAGTTTTCCAGACCTAAAGAGTTATTATTACATATTTTCTTCCTGATCATTTATATCCAGTTTGTCACTAGGGCCCACTTCAAATGTTATTTCTTTCTCCCCACTATCACTACATACTAGATATTAAACTTCTTGAGAACAGGGATAGTGTGTTATGTTGTTTTGCATTTCCTACAACATTTGACCCATAATGTATATACAGTATATTGAAAGATTCTAATTTGAATTAAGGGAATGAACCAGGGTCCCTTGTTTCTTCTTTTATTTATTTATTTATTTATTTATTTATTTATTTATTTTCTGTTTGGAATTCAAATCTTTTTTTTTTTCAATATATGAAATTTATTGTCAAATTGGTTTCCATACAACACCCAGTGCTCATCCCAAAACCTTGTTTCTTCTTTTAAAGGTATTGCTAAAGTCAGATAGCCCAACAGGAGATGTTTTACTGGATGAAACTCTCAAACACATCAAAGCAACTGAACCCACAGAAACCGTCCAGACATGGATAGAGCTACTCACAGGTAAGATGGCTCAAAATGGCTAAAAAAATCCCACACTTTATAATCTTTATCCTACTAGTTCAAGCAGTGGAATACAGGAATTCAAGATGCTGGGTAAGAAATGTATGGCTCACTGTTTAACTGTATTTAAAGAAGGACAGAAAAGACATGGTTAATCAATACATAAAGTTTTCCAAAGCTCTATCTTACGTCCACCACCCCACCACATAAGCTCTTTAATAGTATTCTCCACAAGAAAAAACTTTAACATTTTTTTTAAATGTTTGTTTATTTCTGAGACAGAGAGAGACAGAGCATGAGTGGGGGAGGGGCAGAGAGAGAGGGAGACACAGAATCCGAAGCAGGCTCCAGGCTCTGAGCTGTCAACACAGAGCCCGACAAGGGGCTCGAACTCACAAACCATGAGATCATGACCTGAACCGAAGTTGGTCGCTCAACCGACTGAGCCACCCAGGCGCCCCAAACATTTTTATTGATTCATAATTCACACCATACAGTTGACCCATGGAAAGTACACAATTAAGTGGATTTGAGTATATGCACACAATTGAACAGCCACCATCACAGTCCTAATTTACAACATTTTCATCACCCCAAAAATAAACCCCATACTCATTAGCGATTTTTCCCAAGCCTCCTGCCCAGCTCCAGGCAACCGCTAATCTACATTCTGTCTCTATTGATTTGCTTATTCTCAATATTTCATATAGAGGAAATGTACAACTTTTTTTTGACCGGATTAAGGTAATATTTAAAGTTCATCCATGTTTTATCATGTACCAATACTTTATTCTCTCCCTGTTTTTTTTAAAGGGTAAATTCAAAAACTTTTATATAAGTAAGCAGATCTATGGCATAAAATTTTAGGAGAATCTTCCATGGGGCACTTTGAGGTCACAGCCAGTGTCACCTTCTGGAACAGCTTTTTTTTTATTGAAATTTTAATCGAGGTATCTGTACATTCACATGAAGTTGTAAGAAATAGTACAGAGAGATCCCTTATACACTCTACCCAGAATCCCTCAGTGATGACCAGTTACAAAACTGTAATATAATATGACCTCTAGGATATTGACATTGATACATTCTACCAATCTTACTAGAACTTCCCCAGGTTTACCTTGACTCCTTTTTGTTACCAAATAATACTTCACTGTACAGATGTACCACATTTATTTATCAGTTCATCAGTTGATAAACATTTGGATTATTTCCACTTTTTGACTATTATGAGTAATGCTGCTGTGAACATACCTGGACATGTTTTTGTGTGGATATGTTTTAGTTACTTTGGGGTATATAGTTAACATTTTTTACTGTGGTAGAATACATATAATATAATCTTTATTGTTTCAACCATTCATAAATGTATAATTCACTGACATCAAATACATTCACAGTGTTATGTAACCATCACCTCTGTCTACACCCAAAGCTTTCTCATCATCCCAAACATCCCTCTTTCTCCCTGTCCCCCCATGCCCTGGCAACCTCTTTTCTGCTTGTTGTCTTTATGAATTTGCCTACACCAGGTAACTCATATAAGTGGAATCATGCAATATTTGCCCTTCTGTTATCTGGCTTCTTTCACTAAGCATAATGTTTTCAATGTCCATTCATGTTGTAGCATGTATCAAAATCTCATTCCTTTTTCTGGCCAAATAATATTCCAGTGTATGGATATACCACATTTTGTTTGTTTATTTATTTTGAGAGAGAGCGTGCATGAGTATGAGCAGGGGAGGGACAGAGAGAGAAGGAGAGAGAGAATGTCAAACAGGTTCCACACTGACACTGCAGAGCCCAACGCAGGGCTTGATCTCACAAACTCTGAGATCATGACCTAAGCCAAAATCTAGAGTTGAACGTTTAACCAACTGAGCCATGTGCATGCCCCACCACATTTTTTTTATTCATCTCATTTGTTGATGGACCCTTGAGTTGTTTCCACCTTTTGGCTATTGTGGATAATGCTGCTGTGTACATTAATATACAAATATCTATTCAAGTCCCTGCTAGTCATTCTTTTGAATATATATCTGAGAGTAGAATTGCTGGCTCATATGATAGTTCTGTTTTGAGAAACCACAAAACTGTTTTCTACACAGGCTGCACCCCTTCTCGCCAACCCTGCATAAGGGTTCCAGTTTCTCCATATTGTCATCAACACGTTCTATTTTTAGCTTTGTTGAGGGTTTTTTGTTTGTTTGTTTCTTAAAGTTTATTTTGAGAGAATGAGAGAGTGGAGGAGGGGCAGAGAGAGAGAGTGAGAGAGAATCCCAAGCAGGCTCTGTGCTGTCAGCGTGGAGCCTTATACAGGGCTCAGTCCCACAAACTGATATCATGACCTGAGCCAAAATCAAGAGCTGGACATTTAACTGACAGAGCCACCCAGGTCCCCCTGTTTTGTTTTGAATTATAACCATCCTAGTAGGCATGAAGTGGTATCTCATTATGGTTTTGATTTGCATTTCCCTAATGTCTAGTGATGAGCATCTTTTCATGGGCTTATGGGCCATCTGTATATCTTCTTTGGAAAAATGTCTATTCCAGTCTTTTGCCCGTTTCTTTAATTGAGTTCTGTTGTTGTTGTTATTGTTGAGTTTTGGAAGTTCTTTGTATATTCCGGATATTAATCTCTTATCAGATATGTCATTTACAAATATGTTCTCCCATTCTGTAGGTTGTTTTCTCAACTTTTTGATGGTAGTCCTTGATGCACAAAAGTTCTTGATTTTGATTAAATTGAATCAGTTTATCTATTTTTTCTTTTGTTCCTTCCACTTTTGGTTTTATATCCATGAAAAGACTGCCCTTTCCCCCATTGAATGGTCTTGGTAGCCTTGTTGAAAATAAGTTGATCATCAATCTGAGGATTTATTTCTGGACTCTCTGTTCTATTGCATTGATCTGTGCTTGTCCTTATGCCTATACCGTACTATTTAACTTACTATAGCTTTGTAGTAAGTTTTGAAGTTGGGAAGTATGAGTCCCACAACTTTATTGTTTTTCAAGATTGTTTTGGCTGTCTGGGTCTCATGAAATTCCATATGAATATGAGGATCAGCTTTTCCATTTTGGTGGGAAAGGCTTTTGGAATCTTGTTAGAGATTGTGTTGAACCTGTGGATCTCTTTGAGTGATACTGACATCTCAAAAATGTCAACTCTTCCTGTTCATTAAAATGAGATGTCTTTCCACTATTAATGTCATCTTTAATGTTTTTCAGCAATGTTATATAGTTTTCAGCATATAAATCTTTCACCTCCTTGGTTAGATTTATTCCTAAATATTTAATTCTTTTAGACACTATTATAAATGGAACTGCTTTCTTAATTTCCTTTTCAGATTGTTCATTACTGGTATATAGAAACAACTGATATTTGTGTGGTTTTTTTGTACCCTGCAACTTATCTGAATTAGTTTATTAGCTCTAGTAGCACTTTTGTGTACTCTTTGGAATTTTCTCTACAGTTGGCCCTTGAGCAACGTGCGCAGGTCCACATCTTTGTTTCTTCTCTAACAGCTCTGGTTGCAGTAGGGAAAGCAGGCATCGTTATGTTGTTCATGACCTTTGAGGGAAAACTTTCAGTCTTTTACTATTAAATGTGATGTTAGCTGTGCATTTTTATACCCTTTAAGTATACCCTTTATTCTGGGGCACCTGGGTGGCTCAGTCGGTTGGGTGTCTGACTTTGACTCAGGTCATGATCTAACGGTCTGTGAGTTCAAGCCCCACGTTGGGCTCTGCGCTGACAGCTCAGA